ACTGAGAAATCTGAGTGCTGAGGAGCTCTGCCTTTGGCAGAACCACTTTCTTGACAAGAATATTAAGGAAATCCAGTCCCAACCTAAGGGAGCTTCAGAGTTTGTCCTTTCTGTTCCTTTTCCTTTGGGCTCTACTTCACCCAAAGAGTTCTTCTTAGCTTAGGTCAAGGCAGAATAGCTTGTTATAGGAAGACAGTTTGGGGGCCATGGTAGATTAATGAAGATTATGAAGAAACCTTGGGGTAGAGGTAGCTAGATAAGACCAGATTAGGGAGCTGCTGGCTATGTGATACTCCTAATGCCCTCCTACAAGCTGTTCTGTGGAACATAGGCAGAGATCCTGTGTGAGACTTGGGGCACGTGGTTCTGAGAGGAAAAAGGCAAGGGAAAGAAAATGAGGTATGACAGTTTTAAGATTGATCCTTGCTTAGCAAAAATACCCCAGGGTATAGTTAAGAGTGGGGGGCTACATAGGGGTAATAGAATCTCTGTCCAAGGTGAATGAGATATACCCCATAGTCTCAGGCATGGGAATTCTTGGGTACAGCATTAAGTTTCCTGGGGATTGTTTTCTCTTCAAACATTACATTTTGTATTTCCTTCTGCCCCACTTTTTTGTTGTTGTTGTAGACCAGCATAAGTCATTACTAACAACCATGCCAGTGACCCAATATTATGCTACCTTGAAATTTTCTTCATCAAAGAAACTGGTACATTATTCTTTAATTTAGCCTCGGGCAAGTCTTATGAAAGGGGCAGAATATAGCCAGATTCTTTGTCAAAATATTCCAACCTCTAGCCTAGTTGCTGTTGAAGTCTTTGCTTCCTGCTGAAACCTCAGGAGCCAAGCTTCTAGAGTCCGCTTTGAAATCAGTAGTCTTCCAGTCTCATCCTGTTAAGCTCTACTTACAGTATTCAGCTGATTTTCTAGTTCAAAGTCTCAATATCCTCCACATTACTCCAGAAAACAAAATAAGAATAAACAAATAAACAAAAATGCACGTTCAGAGTCTTACCAGTAACAGCCCAGTGTGGCTTCAATTTTTGTTATCGTTACTTCTCTGTTGCTGTGATAAAACACCATGACCAAAGCAAATTATAGAAGGAAGAGTTTAGTTTCTGATTCCAGAAGTATAGAAACCATAATAAAGGGGATAGCATAGGCAGAGTGAGCAGGCATGGATGGCAGCAAGAATGGGAAGCTGAGGGTTCAGATCTTGAACTTCACTCACAAAGCAAAGAGAACAAACTATAAATGGCATGGAATCTTTATAAACTCTCAGAGCCCACCTCTAGTGACACACTTTCTCCAAGAAGCCCACGCCTCCTTAAACCTCCCCAAATAGCACAGTAGCACTCAGACATCTGAGTCTATGGGGGATATTTTTATTCAAACTACTACTGCTCTCTGGGCCTGATAGTGTTTCCTGATACATGGGAGGGCTGGTGTGGTTTGGATTCTAGCCCTGTGGCCCAAAGCTGTGACCGCAAGGTGATAATGTAGAGCAGTGGTTCTCAGCCTGTGAGGTATGGCTCTTCAGCTGTCCTAGATATCAGATATTTACATTACAATTCATAGCAAATTTTAGTTACTATGAAGTAACAATGGAATGATTTTATGATTGGGGGTTACTACAACATGAGGAACTATATTAAAGAGCCACAGCATTTGGAAGGATGTGAATCACTGATGTAGATAGTGGTGATGATGAGTTGGTCTCTACTCCCATATAGCATGCTGGCAAGGTTCAGAGAGACTGTCCTCCAGTGAGGGCATCAAGTTTATATATTCTCCTCACCTAATCATCATTGCCAAGAACTGTTTGATTCCACCAGCATAATTCCCTTTTTCATTGATAAGAACACATCCCATCTAGATCACTGCCATTTCCATTCTTTAATGCTTGACAAAGCCCAGACTGAATACCTCTTCCTCCTTGAAGCATTTTTGCTTGTGTCCTTCTTTTCATCTATCTACCTACCTATCTGATCTTTGAGAATTTCATACATGTATATAGTGTATTTTGATCATACCCACCTACCATGTATCCCCTCTTTTCCTTCTGGATCCCTCTTCCATTTCCCTTACAACATCACACCCTATACTTTGTTTTCTCTCCCAGTGTGTCCAATTAGTGTTGCCCTATGTATATAGATATAGGGCTATGCACTGGGCATAGGCAATACCCTAGAGGCCACACTCCAGAAAAAAACAAAAAACAAAACTGTCTTTCTCTCCCTATGCAACCATCATCATCTGACAATAGCTCTTCAGCTACGGAAGAAAGTTCTTGGGTCTCTCCCCATTCCATGCTAAAATTTTGGCTTGCTTGATCTATTGCAGGTCTTATACATGCAGTCGCAGCTGCTGACAATTCATGTGTGACAGCCCTGTCATATCCAGAAAATGTTTTCCAATGTCCCTCTAATACCTCTAGTTCTTACATTATTTCTGCCCTCTCATCCATGATGATCTCTGAGTTTGGGGGCAGGAAATGTTATTCAGATTTACATTTAGGGCTGAGTATTCCACAGTATCTTATCTGTGTATCAATCAGTTGTGAGTCTTTATATTAATTACTGTCTACTGTTCTGATGACGGTTGAAAGCCTCATTAATCTGTGAGTATAAAGATAAGTACTTAGAAAGCAGTTTTGTATTAAATCCATTTAGAAAAATAATAGTAGTAGATTTTGTCCTAAGGTCTTCTGCTATGGTCTTCCCCAGCATTTGGTTTTTGGTCAAGACAGCTTTTCTGAAACCAGGGACTATGTTTTACCTTTTAAAATTATTTGGAGACTCATTAAAGCCAGACTGGTCTACATGCCAAGTTCAAGGAGAGCAAGAACTATGTAGAGACCTTGTTTCAAAAAACATGAACAAGCAAAGAAATAACAGGGGCTATATAAGGCCTACATTATGCTGTATCTTCAGACTTCTGTAGGTAAGATTTTCTCCCTATAGTCTGTAAGCTCTATAAAGCAAGGACTAGAAGTTCGTCTCTTGGCTTGGCCTGATGTACTGACTTTAGTGTCTGTCACTTACTGAATGTTCAGAGAGGTTTAAAATAAAATATGAATTCCACAGCAAGAAATACAATTTCACATATAACTTCAATGCTGTCACCTCCATCCCCAATATCATAGTGACAGTCCTGTTAGATTTCAAGGCTGATGTGAGAAGATTCACAGGATGAAAAGTAAAGAATTCAGATATACAATGGGCCCATATTCTCATTACAACATGAAGCGCAGAATTCTGGGTGATTGTGTGCTTAGTGGCAAGAGTACTGTCTGTTACAGAGCTGAGTTTGCAGAGTGTAATGTCAAGATGTATTGCACAGATAAATTCATAACCTGAGAAAATAGAAATCCCTGTATCTTCACTGAGAAGATCAGATGAGCTTTATTCTCATCTCCAAACCAGACATCATCTTGCTCTGGTTGGTTAGCAAAGTGCTATTAATTGAACTCTGGTTATTCTGGTGATTTAAGTGTATCAAACTAGGTGAAGTACCAGACACAAAGATGTTGGGAAGATATGAACCTAGATACTAGGAAAGACTCATCTAATGATATCACAGGCTAGAGTATAGTTGCCAGTTTCTATTCAGCCCCAGTGCTGGACAACAGTATTCTACTGCAGATAACTGTATGACTCTTTGGAGTGTGGCATATAGTCACTGGACTAGTGCTCTGATCAGCTCAGTCTCATTCTCTCCCTTTCTTCTCCATGTTTCTAGCCTCTTGCTTTCTCAAGTCCAACAGCTATTCTCTCTCCCTTGGCTACCCTAGATCTACAAAGAGGACTCGGAGAGGGAAGGGGCTTCATAAGAAGCGATCCCTTGATTTCTGTAGGCTGATTAGTGCTTTAGTGGCCATATGTTTACTGTCACTGGAAAACATTAGACTTGCCAGGGACTAAGGGAATGATCAGGTTGTTACAAAAGCTGGTTAACCCTTCTTATTATTCCAAGCCCATTGGCACTTGGATTAGGAAGCCTTGATCAAAATGGTGCAACTTACACCAAGTGTATTTATTTAAATAGCTCCTGACGGTCTGTATCTTAGGCTAGGACCATGAATATAGGGTTGTGTGTTTTCAAGCTCTCTCCCTAGATTGCAAGGTAGAGGAGGACCAAGATAATGAGAGGAACAGAGTAGAAGAAATGTTTTGCCTTGTGGCTCTATGATAGAATCTGGTGGTTATACTTGACAAGGACAAAATTAAAATCCCTTGCCAGCAGGACAGTCAATAGAGAGTCTGACCCTGATCTACCCCCTCACATAGTCTCTACAAGGGGTTTAAGGACATAGATCTTGGTAGGCCTCTTGGACAGAGGATACTAAAACCCAGAGGATATTTTTCCTGAGCCTACCCTGTCATTTTGTGGGTTCTACTTTACAGCCCTGATCCACAGTGCAAAGTTGTTGCTTCTCTGGAGTCAGGAAGGTTTAGCCATTGTCCTAGTGGCAGTTAAGAGAACCCATGGGCAGAAGATAAAGCCCTGAGAAAAATGTTGGTGATAGTCCAGGGTAATGTTTAATCGAGGCCTGGATCCAGTAGGACCCAATGAAGTCTCAAGTAGCAACTTCATCACATAATTTTAAAAACTTCAGTGTTGCTAGAAGCAGCCTGTCTATCTACTCCTTTCCTGACCCCCACCCAGTAATTGATAAGCTTTCTTATAGACAATAGCACAATTGGGCTTTTGCACCCCTACAATTATCTCTGTCAAATCTCCCCCCCCCCACACACACACACTTACAGCAGCCTAAATGATAGTCACCTGTTGCTAAGTATAGAGTTTTTACTGCTCTGGGGCCTGGTAAAAGCTAGACCAGCAAACCAAACATAGATTAAGGTTTTTACCAGTGTTTACTTATTTTCTCTCCAGTCCCATTCAATCCTTAGGCAATAATCACCCATAAAAACAAACCCAGCCTGTGTGCTTGCTCACTGGTATTTGTCTCTGTCTTTGTCTCTCTTATCTCCCCAAGACCCAACTGTGATGCTTCCTGTCTGAGCATGCTCTAACTGCACCAGAAGTCCAAAGGCTACATATCCAGTTGAAGAGCTATCACCATCATGGAGACTCAAAAGGATGAACCTTTTCAGATCAAGGGAGCATCAGCTTCTAGAGATGCCCAAGACCAGGGAGCTGAAAAGGGAGCCAAGAATAAGACAACTGAGGCAACAGAAGGACCAACATTAGAGCCTCCCTTGTCAGGCCCAGGTAGGCTGAAGAAAACTGCCATGAAACTCTTTGGTGGCAAGAAGGGAATCTGTACTTTGCCTAGTTTCTTTGGGGGAGGACGAAGCAAAGGTTCTGGGAAAGGCAGCTCTAAGAAGGGTCTAAACAAGAGTAAGACCCATGATGGCCTGAGTGAAGCAGCTCATGGCCCAGAAGATGTTGTCATTGAAGAAACAGGCCTCTGTGAACCTTTGTCCAAGTCACCTTCTCAATTTCCTAGCTCCCAGAGTGCTCATGGAACTTTGGAGATAGGCTCTAGACATAAGACACCTATGACTGAAGCCACAGAGAAAGCTGGGGTTGAAAAGGTACCCTCTGTGCACAAGCCTAAGAAAGGCTTAAAAGGCTTTTTCAGCAGCATCCGCCGTCACCGAAAGAGCAAGGTTTCTGGGGCTGATCAGAATGGGCCAGGGACAAAGGAACTTGAAGGGGCTAGAACCAGGTCTCATGAACATGTGCGTTCAACCTCTCTGCCCAGTTCTGAGGAGATATTCCAAACTGCTAAAAAGGAAAATGCCAAACCCCAGGATGCCCCTGAACCAAAAACTTCTCCAGCACTAGAACATTTTTCATCAACTACTGAGAAGACAGCCTCTAAAAATCCAGAAAACCTCACAAGGACCTGTGCCCCAGAGTTCAAACAGTCCAAGCCTATTCCTGAAGCCAGTAGCCTAGAGGAGCCCCACACTTTGGAAGCAGAAGAAAAAGTGGTGACAGGAGAGGTAAACCCATCCAATGGTCCTGTTGGGGATCAGTTAAGCCTCCTGTTTGGGGATGTCACATCCCTGAAAAGCTTTGACTCACTGACAGGTTGTGGTGACATTATAGCAGAACAAGATATGGACAGCATGACAGATAGCATGGCCTCTGGTGGCCAGAGGGCTAACCGAGATGGGACCAAGCGTAGTTCCTGCTTGGTAACCTACCAAGGAGGTGGGGAAGAGATGGCCTTACCAGATGATGATGATAATGAAGAAGAGGAAGATGAGGAGGTAGAATTAGAGGATGAGGAAGAAGAGGTCAAGGATGGGGAGGAAGATGGTGACTTAGAGTATCTGTGGGCAAATGCCCAGATGTATCCAAGATCTAATCTGAACCTAGGCTATCATGCTGCTACATCCCCAAGCCACCAGGGCTACATGCTTGTTGATCCAGTTCAGTCTTACCCTAGCCTAGGCCCTGGAGAACTTTTGACTCCTCAGAGTGACCAGCAAGAGTCTGCTCCCAATAGTGATGAAGGTTACTATGACTCTACCACACCAGGGTTTGAGGATGATTCAGGTGAGGCACTGGGGCTTGTCCACAGGGATTGTTTACCCAGAGACAGCTACAGTGGTGATGCCCTATATGAATTCTATGAGCCAGGTGACAGTCTGGAGAACTCCCCACCTGGGGATGACTGCCTTTATGACCTCCATGGTCGCAGCTCTGAGATGTGTGGACCTTTCTTGAACTTTGAGCCCTTTTCTTCTCGGCCACCTGGAGCAATGGAAACAGAGGAAGAACGTCTAGTGACCATCCAGAAACAGTTGCTGTACTGGGAGCTTCGCCGGGAGCAGCTTGAGGCTCAAGAGGCATGTGCCAGAGAGGCTCATGCCAGGGAAGCCTATGCTCGAGACACCCACACTCGGGAATCTTATAGCAGAGATACCCGAACCCGAGAAGCCCAGGCCCGAGAGGTTCATGCTAAAGAGGGTCGAGTTCGAGATACCCAGGTCCGGCAGGAGAAGCCTGTCTTGGAGTATCAGATGCGGCCTTTAGGCCCATCAGTAATGGGCCTCGTGGCAGGAAATTCAAGAGCTTCTCAGACTTCCCACCGGGGAACCACCTCAGCTTTCCCTGCTACTTCTAGCAGTGAACCAGACTGGCGGGATTTCCGTCCACTGGAGAAGCGTTTTGAGGGGACTTGCTCCAAAAAAGATCAAAGTACTTGTTTGATGCAGCTCTTCCAGAGTGATGCTATGTTTGAGCCAGACATGCAAGAAGCAAATTTTGGAGGCTCTCCCAGGAAGGCCTACCCTAGTTACTCACCCCCTGAAGAGCCAGAGGAAGAAGATGAGAAGGAAGGGAATGCCACCGTGAGTTTCTCACAGGCCTTAGTAGAGTTTACCAGCAATGGAAATCTTTTTTCCAGCATGTCCTGCAGCTCTGACTCTGATTCATCCTTCACTCAAAACCTCCCTGAGCTTCCCCCTATGGTCACCTTTGACATTGCTGATGTGGAACGGGATGGAGAAGGCAAGTGTGAAGAAAATCCTGAGTTCCACAATGATGAAGACCTCACAGCCTCCTTGGAAGCTTTTGAGCTGGGTTATTACCAAAAACATGCCTTCAACAGCTATCACAGTCGATTCTACCAAGGCCTTCCCTGGGGTGTTAGCAGCCTTCCTCGATACTTAGGGCTCCCTGGCATACACCCTCGACCTCCACCTGCTGCAATGGCGCTGAATAGGAGAAGCCGTTCCCTTGACAATGCAGAGACCCTAGAGCTGGAACTCTCCAGTTCTCACCTAGCCCAGGGTTACTTGGAGTCTGATGAGCTACAGACCCACCAGGAAGATTCAGATGAAGAAGGCGAAGAAGAGGAAGGAGAATGGGGCCGAGACAGTCCCTTGTCCCTCTACACTGAACCTCCAGGGGCCTATGACTGGCCAACCTGGGCTCAATGTCCTCTTCCATTGGAGCCAGACCCTGCCTGGATAAGCCCCAGTCAGTTGGATGGGCCTTTCAATCAGGCGTCATACGGGCAGGCAACCTGTTGCATACCTCCTGCAGGAATGGCAATGTCAGTGCCAGGGCTCCCAAGAGCACCTGGAGACTCTCTGCCTCAGCTAGCTAGACCTTCGCACCTACCCTTGCCCATGGGTCCTTGCTATAACCTTCAATCACAGGCCTCCCAAAGTGTGAGGGCCAGGCCTCGGGATGTACTGCTGCCCGTAGATGAGCCCAGTTGTGCCCCCATTTCTGGAGCCAACTCTCTGTCTCACGCCAAGCCTGTAGGCATCACCCATGGTATCCCTCAGCTGCCCAGGGTACGGCCTGAACCCCTTCAGCTTCAACCCAGTCACTACAGAGCTTCCAACCTTGACCTGTCAAAGGAGAGGGGCGAGCAAGGTGCCCCTCTCTCTACCAGCTACTCCTCCTCTGCCATGAATGGAAACCTAGCCAAGTAGCCATCAATTCCAGAGTGGAGACCTGAGCATGTGAATGGGGGTCAGGGGTTGGGCAGAAGGGTGGGGGTGGGGGTTGCTGTTTAACTTGAAAATCCCTTTGGCCAAGATAAACTCCTGAGTTTTCCCACCTCCCTCTGGCATCTTTAGCCAGGTTCAGCCCAAGTACATCTGCCTAGGGAAGTTGCTGCTTCTGTGCTCTAGTTTTTGCTTTGGGTTTTTTCTGACCCATATAGGGCTTGGGATGCATCCTTATTGCAGGCTGAACCCCTCTTCTCTGGTCCCTTGTTGACTAATGAACCACTGATGAGCAGCCAATTTTTGCACTGACTCTCACCCAGAGATGGGAGGCTTTCTGGCTATTAGCAATATAAAATTATGGTACATATTATTCCTAACCCTCTTTACATCACATCAAATAACTATAACCTATTTATCCCAGTTAGTTATGTTTAGAGTGGATCAAGTAGCATGTGTCTCGCTCCCTATTGCTGTGGACTTTGGTATTATAACTAGATGATGTCCTTTTAACCTGGCCTGACATAGTCTAGAAGACAAAAACACTAATCCCCATAATGGAGTGTGTAACTCTGTCTGTATTCAAGCAGAATACAAAGGTAGATAGATCGTGGAAACTGCTGTGGGGTCTTGAGCTGTGGAATGATATCTTGTTTGTTTCTTAAGCCTTTGGCTATTGCAGGTACTTTAGAACGTCCCCTTTGTCCTGTAACTGGAATTTTCATAATTTCATCACAAGGAATTTAGTCTCTTAATTGAGATAAGGGAAGAGAAGCCACCTAAATTGGGATTGATTATAGGACATTGGGTTTTGTGGGATGAAAAGGAGGAAAACAGAAAGAGGGATCCATTTATCACAGACACCAAGAAGGGATCTCAGACTTTGGAGCTTGAAGCAATTTAGCTTATGAGGGAAAAGATTCCCCTGCCCCTTCCTCCCAAACAAAAACAGTCTTTAATCCTCGCCCACCCCTTTGTGAAGTGGTTCCAACCTTACAATTCCAAGACAGGATGCCAAAGGCATCTTACCTGTTGTCGTGGGCACTTTAAAAAGCTTTTGTCTCCAAATTAGCCATGTTCTTAGTATCGTCAAAGGACCAGGCTTCTTAAGAGGAAAGACTGTAATGTGTCCTTGCTCTGCCATGCTTCAGGACTGATATGCATGGCAGCTGCAATCTTTTATGAAATGAACAGCACCCTCCTCTTACATCCATGCAGTTCTCTTATTTCTTTTCTTTTTCCTTTTTTTTTGGGGGGGGGGCAGGGACAGGATGCCATGTTTGAGTCTTCCATAGCCTGGGAACTCACCATGTAGACCAGGACAGCTTCTAAGTCACTGAGATCCATCTGTCTCTACCTCCTACCAAGCCCAGTCAAGCAGTCAACTCTTAACTAAGTTGGAAACACTACTAGGGAAGAGCTTGCTATCAGGAAGACATTGCAACAGGCTCACCTTGGCCAGGGTCAACTTTTCCTTATCACTCATACGAGACAGGTTTGTTTTAAAATTTTCTATTGGGCCAGGCATGGTGGCATATGCTTTTCATCCCAGCACTTGGGAGTAAGAGTCAGGTGGAGCTCTATAAGTTTGAGGCCAGCCTGAACTACATAATGAGTTCTAGGCCAGCTAGGGCTACATAACAAGACCTTGTTTTTAACTAAAATTTCTTTATTGGAAATGCCATATTTGGGGGTAGATGTGTGGATATAAGTTAGAATTATTTTATCTTATGCCCTGTGCCCATTCTCACCTCAGAACCATCTTCACATCTATTAAGTGAAGATGTTAACAGGGCTTTTGCCAGAAACATGGCAATTTATCTTGGGAACAGATGCTGATGGCCTTCTGAGTCAAGATAACTGTGGACCTACTTTCATTGTCAGGGGATATATCCATGATAGTTTTTGTCACCATTTCTAAGATTGTGCCCTTCTCCAAAAAGAGCAGACTGGATTGGAAAAAGTTAAATCCCTGGAAGTAACTACATGAGTTTGCATGGCTCAGCACCACCCCTCAAGGACCTCCGATCAGCTCTCTTGGATAACCTTGGCTACATCATAAAGAAGTGCATCCTTTTTGAAACTGGAGAATGAAAGAAAGTGAGAAAGGGCTTTCTTACCCCAATCACATTGTTCCAAAAGGCAAATGCCCAGATTTTAACCACTTGGCCTCTCACCAAAGCTGTTCTGAGAGGGTGAGGCTGAAATTGGCCTGGTTGGATGGCAGGAATTAACCACCAAATGCCTTTACAGCAGGAAAAAACACACCTCTTGCCTGTTCAAGTCAGCCTGAGATCCTGTTTACATTTGGCTGCCATCCACAGCAGGCAGTAGAACTGTCAGCAGTGTCCATGGTCCACTGGAGAAGGGCTGCTAGCCTGTTTTGGAAGAGGAAGGGTAATTACCTATAACTATGGGTTACCCTCATGGTTCAGAAGGACAGCACAGTCCATTGTCTCTGAAGGACCCTGCCATAACTCTGACACATTTTGCTGTGCTCTGAAAAGTCATACCTCAGAGTAGGACCTGGGGCTAAGTAGAAGTTTGTGACTTAAATGACATTGTTACCTGAAAGTCCTTTCACTGACCTGGCTGCTAGCCCAGGGTTAAAATCTTCACAACCTAAAGTGAAACAGCTAAGATATATGGCTACAGAAGCAAACTCCTTTATAAAACAAATGCTAGCTGCAGCCTAGAAGAGGAAGGAAGATTTGGCTGAGGACATATGGTGATGACGATATGGTATGGTTAACAATGGGAAATGCAACTAATCTCCAGGTATCTGTCCAACATGGGCACGTACTTCCTTGGCTGACACCAAATATATTCCCAACTACCAGAAGTGTTGCTATTATGTCCACACTGAGGCTGGAGCCAGACGAACCTCCTGTCTCCATTGGAGGTCCTCAGACAATGTGTTTGGCTGTGACTTCAAGGGAAGATGTGATGATAGAAGGGTACTAGCATCATCTTGTTGCCCAATAATACTAAAGTGTCATTTCTGATCCTGAGAATTTCTTGATAGCCTAGTCCTTAGAGGACCAGTGAATGTGGATAAGAAAGGCAACCTAGCAGGCCTCTTCCAAAGCCAGGATGCCAATTTCTTGGTGCTTTAGATTCTCCAAGGGAGCCCTGCCTTGGGTATCATCTGGCTTTAGCTTGGATACAAGACCACAAGCCTCATGGATAATGATCTCAGTAAATGCCAGTGTCCCTCCTCTTAGTGCTATACCAAGGAGGGAAGTAGCTTTCCACACTCAGAATGCTGGGTGCATGCTCATCCTGCCACCAGTGGCTTTTTTCACCTGCACCAGTGCCACCCCTGCCCTCAGCCCCTAGGCTCACTTGCTAGAGGGAAGCACGGGGCTTTACCAGGGATACTTCAAGTTTACCCATATGTATGTTGCATCCAAGTTGTTTTTAATATATATATAAATATATATATCAAAAGCCAATTATCTATTTTTATATTGTTTGCATTTTATATTCATGGAAACAATGTTTATCAATTGTTCTTTTCTGATTTATTTTTAAGCGGTGCTGTTTACAGTTTTAAACAAAAAAAAAAAGATGACACAAAAAATAATTGCTGCTGCTTGTGCAGAGGGATGTCATCTCAACTATCTAGGGCCCTCCCTCTTTTCCCTCTCCCATCTGGCTGTGTCACACTAGTCATTCTTTCCACATGGTAAGGACAGAAGATGCCCAGGTACCGAAGACCAATACCAGGTAACTCAGGCATGTAGAACCTGGAAGACAGCATGTTCTCTAGCTTTAATTTTCCCTTTAATTCTCCATGTGTAGACATCCTGAGAGTACTCATGCCTCTTGACTTTTATTCTTTTTCTTTCTTCATGTTTATGCTTCTGTTTGCAAAGCATTGTACCCACATTGTGCGATTGGCTGTGTTGTTTCTTCAAAGGAGCATTAGGGGTACATTCTTCACCAAGAGACTTGGGATGACAGATGACAATGATAGCTGAACTACCTGGAATTGGTCATCTCCTTGAGGAAACCCTTGAATGGTACTTACCAGGAACTTGGTAGATTGTGACATTGTTCAGAAAAGACATTAGATAATTCCTTGCTCCCTCTTGCTACTTTGGGAGAATATAGCCAGCTCCTGCCTCCATGTTCCCTTCCCTGTTCCAGCTTACAAGTGGATGGTACTTTTGGAAACCGAACTCTTGTCTTTTGATTGTATCTTTTGATTGTAAGCCCTAGCCTTTAATGGCTGTGCCACCTCTTTAGCCAGGATGGCACTTTAGGGAATGGTGACTGTTACAGTCATGGCTGGATGGCCTGATCCACGGTTTCTCCATCCTATAATCATTCCAAAGAAGAAAATCCATATGGCATGTGTATTTGTGAGGGTTGGGTCTATTAAGAGGGGGCTTTAATTATTCCTGTTACTATTGGTGCTTATTTTCCCTGCTATATATGGGGGTGGGAAAGGGCTGGGGTAAACCAGGAATGTATATTTAGGTCATGTTAAATAAAATGGCTGGGGGAAGGAGAAAGATATTAGGAATTACAGTACATCTTCACTCTATGTGTAAGAGTTCTCTCCTCCAGTATAGAAAGGGGAGTGTAGCTCTTTGCTGTGCCTGAGCTTCCCTTCCCCATTCCTGAGACATCACAGAATCATCTGCATTGTGACCTCTCCATCCCTAGCACTCACTGGCATCTGGCTATCTTGACATACTGACTGTATGTTACAACATATATTTCATTTGCTGAATGCTAATAAACTTCTGGGTTCATGAGGGACCTCCAGTCGCTAAAGTGTCTTCTTGTTTGTTCTGCAATAGTATTCCTGTGATCTATGGCTGATGGGTTTGCTCTTAAAGGGCAACTGAAGAACTGAAAAATTGAGGGAGGTACTCCACAAGGGAAACACGCCAAAGCTGAAACTAAATTAGAGGAGAATACCGTGTTTCGCTCACCCTGTGCCCTGTATCCTAGTCAGGTCTCATCACACAATCTACACTTTAGACCAACCCCTGAAGTTCCTGTACATTGTCAGGGGCTAATT